CTGTCCTGCTCCATGTGCCTCAAGGAAACCTGTGATTTCCTGCTTTTTCTCTTTCAAGGCCGCTTGCCTTAGACCTCCTCAAACCTCTGACCCTTGCTCTAGACAGCTTGCTCTCACTGTACAAATAATAAATGTTGGAGAGGGTGTGGAGAAAAGGGACCCTCTGACGCTGTTGCTGGGAATGTAAGTTGGTGTGACCACTGTGGAAAACGGTATGGAGGTGCCTCAGAAAACTAAAAATAGAACTACCACTCCTGGACACCTATCCAAAGAAAACTCTAATCCAAAAACGTACATGCACCACTATGTTCACAGCAGCACTATTCACGATAGCCGAGACATGCAAACAGCCTAACGTCCATCAACGAATGAACGGATAAAGACATGGTACATGTGTACAACGGAATATTACTCAACCACAAAAAGAATGAAATCATGCCGTTTGCAGCAACATGGATGGACCTAGAGATGATCATACTAAGCGAAGGAAGTCAGAGGAAAAACAAATACCACATGACGTCACTTATGTGTGGATTCTAAAATATGGCACAAATGAGCTTATCTACGAAACAGAAACAGACCCACAGACACAGAGAACAGACCTGTGGCTGCCAAAGGGGAGGGGATTGGGGGAGGGGTGGAGCGCGAGGTTGGGATCAGCAGATGAAATCTATTATACACAGGGTGGATAAGCCACGAGGTCCTACTGTGGAGCGCAGGGAGCTATATTCACTGTCCTGTGATAAACCATCGCGGACAAGAACGTGAAAAAGAAGGCGCATAAGATGTAAAACGGAATCACTTTGCTGTACGGCAGAAATTAACAAAACATTGGAAATCAACTACACTTCAATTTTTGAAAATGTAAAAAAGTAGGCAGTTTGCTCTTGAAACCGGGAGGGGGTGTCCCTGTAGGCTCCAGGGCACAGAAGCCTTTTTTTGTCCCCCGTTTCTTGTAGGCAAGACTGCAGTCCATGCCCTTCCCTGGGTTCCAAAGGGCGAATTCGAACAGTTGCTAATCAGGGGGGAAGCAGCCAGGAAACCACCTGAGGCGAGATTCGAGGGACCCGAGAAGCTCCTCGAGATTCGGAGAGCGACCAGCGGAGATGAGATTACGGGAGTACAAGCCCTGCACACACCCTGATCTTGTCAGCAACCCCTCCCTTGAAGTACTGAGTATTGATGAGTACCTCCTCATCACATCCTCCCGGGTGGGGACACATAGTTTTTCAAGGCAAGTGTCCCCCTGTGCCTGGCAAAGCAATAAAGCTATTCTTTTTCTACTTCACCCGAAACTCTGTCTCCGAGATTCCATTTGGCACCGATGCACAGAGGCTGAGCTTTCGGCATCACTCTCGATTTTCATTCTGTGAGAGTAACTTCTCCTCCTACTGTGTCCAGCTTTAGTGGTTGAGGATCTTCTCCTATTCTGCCTCATTCTCCTCTTAGGAGATGACAGTGTGGTGGCTGCCGGCATTAGAACTGCGCGCAGAACTGGGGGTGCCCAGCTGGTCCAGCGGGAACCACCGCCCCAGGACTGCCTCACCTACTCCTTGTCTGTTTCTTTCTTTTCTTTAAATTTATTCATTTATTTATTTATTTTTGGCTGCGTTGGGTCTTCGTTGCTGCACACGGGCTTCCCCTAGTTGCAGCAAGCGGGGGCTACTCTTCGTTGTGGTGTGCAGGCTTCTCATTTTCACCACTTTATTATAAAAGGCTGTAACTCAGGGATGGCCAAATGGAAGAGGCGTGTAGGGCAAGGTGTGTGGCAGAGGGCATGGAGCTCCCTGCTCTCTCGGAGCACAACGCTCTTCCTGCATGTTCACCAACCCAGAAGCGCTCCCAGCCCCGTCCTTTTGGGTTTTTATGGGCATGACTGGTTAAATTATTGGCCAGTGGTGATTGAGCTCAATATCCAGCCCCTCCCCCCTCCCCAGAGGTCAGAGGGTGAGGTTGAGTCCCAACCCTCTAATCACTTGGTTGGTTCCCCTGGCAACCAGCCCCCACTTCTAGGAGCTTTCCAAAGACCACCTTGTTAACATAAACTCAAGTGTGATTGAAAGAGTCTTGATATGAATATCAAAATGCACCTTTATGACTTTTTCTTTTTACTTTAATAGACAGAATTATTACTTGTAGTATTTACACACATAGTCTTCCATGGTAATGTTAAAATTACCATTTTCTTCAAATGCCCCTCAAAATAACACACTTTGCCTTCCTAAGTGAATCTTGGACAAGGAAATTCAGTGAAAGTGATCTACTTACGACTGTGTCCCATGTCTCTCTCTCTTTTTTTTTTTAACATCTTTATTGGAGTATAATTGCTTTACAATGGTGGGTTCGTTTTTGCTATATAACAAAGTGAATCAGCTATATGTGTACATATATCCCCATATCTCCTCCTTCTTGTGTCTCCTTTATGACTCTTCTGACTTAGCAAATTCAAGGGCTTTAGGAGCTCTGTGCCAGAAGCTAGGGACAAAGACCAAAGGTTTATTTCTTGTTATAAATCACAATATCAAAGAGCTCAACTAACGAAAAGAAGGGATGGAAGGTAAATTTAAGAATATCTACTAGAAAAAGAGGTAAATACTAGGTGAGAAAAGAAAATTAGAGGTCCAATCAGAATGTGAGTAACAGGAATTTCATCAAGAGATAACACAGAATATGGAAGAGACTTGTTCTTTACAAAGTTCCAAAACTAAGGACATGAGCCTGTAGGATGGAGAGAACCACTGTGTGCACAGTCCAATGAGCAAGGCCCACATCAAGGTGTATTGTTGTGTCAGTTGAGAACACCAAGGATAAAGAGAAGATCCTAAAAGCTTTCAGAGAGAACAAACAGATCACACACAAATGGACAGGAATCAGAATGGCTTTGGACTTTTTAACAGCAGCCCTGGAAGCTGGGAGCTAAAAACTATGAATTGAAAAGTTTTGAAGGAAAAGTATCTCCAATCTAGAATTCTGTATATATCCTACCATTAGAGACGAGAGTGAGATGAGAGTAGAATAAACACATTTCAGACACACACCCTTCCCAGGAAGCTACTAGTGGACTGACTTCAGCAAAATAAGAGAGTAAACCACAAAGGGGTTCCAGGAAACAGGGAACCAACACAGGAAAAAGGCAACAAGTCACAGGGATGACAGCAAGGTCACGACAGCAGAGCTGTGCGGTGGGTTGAGAAAGCCATCAGTCTGGAGGGAACACGGGCCAGGGGGCTCTGGGAGAGGGGCCTCCAGGAATTAAACAGCTCTAAGGTGTTTGAGCCTTTGCAAAATGTTATTGATAGGCAAGTGGCAAAGAAAACTAGCCACGTAAAAATCTAGGCACAAGAGAAAAACTAGGTAAGTATGAAGGAAAAAAATGTGGTACAAGATGGAGGCGTGGTTTTACACCGTCACCTGCAAATAGTCGTGAAAATGTGGGGGTGGGGCGGGCAGGGAGTTGCTTGGAAAGCCTGCTTCCTCCCTTACTTCGGGAAGTCCATAGAAATGTCTATATTTAATACATCAAAAACTAGCAGTCTCTGGTTGAGAAACGTGGAGGTTTCTGCCAGAGGAAAAGCTACAAGGGTTGGAAGTATTTGCCCCAGGAGAGACTGGCACGGGACCGCTGTTGTTCACTACGTCTTCAGTTCTGCGTGAATAAAAAACCATGCACTGGCGTGACTTTGATTTTATTTAAAAAACTTAAAAAAATTTTTTTTTTATACAGCAGGTTCTTATTACTTATGTATTTTATACATATCAGTGTATACATGTCAATCCCCA